CTAGCGACCAGGGCCGGTTCCGACCGGATGTGACGTATCCGGGAGCGACGAGTCGGCGCGGGCTCGAGGCCCCGGATGCCTTCCGGGTCGTGGTTGGTCCACGCCGTGGGGCTGAGTCTTCTGCGCTTGTTGCCGGGACGACCCGCTCCGGGTTAGGGGCCCTGGTCGGGCCCAAACGCTCTGCGACCCCTGGGGGCAGTGGGACACGGGCTTAGCCCTAGCAGGGCCGGATCGCCAGCGGGCCGCCGGTGGTGGCGGGAGCCCAGGGTCAGGCGCCGCCTATTCCCACCTTTCTTCGTTCAGCCGTGGACCCAGTGTCTAGTTCCACACTGTGGGACATCAGGGGGCTTGTCCGCTTTTCAAAACTTTTTTGGCGCCAGCAGCAGGGTCTGAAGGCCTCACGGACAAGGAATAGACAATCAGATGGCATAAGTTGGGCAAAATGGGGAGACAATAAGCAAGTGCTGAGTCTAAGGAAACTTGCATGTTCCGAAAGGCTGCTGGAAGAACTTGTCACGGCTGTGATGGAAGCTGGTGGCCCCCAGAGTTACAGGTACTTGCCCATGGCAGGTGCACAAGACACATCGTTGAGAACGTAACCAAAACAAAACGGCATTTGTATTTTAATTTTTATTTATTTTTAACGTTTATTTATTTTTGAGACAGAGAGAGACAGAGCATGAACGAGGGAGGGTCAGACAGAGGGAGACACAGAATCCGAAACAGGCTCCAGGCTCTGAGCTGTCAGCACAGAGCCCGACGCGGGGCTCGAACTCACGGACGGCGAGATCATGACCTGAGCCGAAGTCGGACGCTTAACCGACTGAGCCACCCAGGCGCCTCTGTATTTTAATTTTTCAAGTACAGAATAACTTTAATAAAAATCTGTTAATTTAAAAAGTAAAAATATATTAAGTTTAAACTTACTTAAATACATTTTACTTTAAAATTTGTATTTGTGTGTGTTTTATAAAGTTCAGATTGGTACGTGTGTACGATATGTAAACAGTTAAACACATGGTTGGGGTGTATGCTTAAGATGGTTTGATTTATGTCAGTGATCAGAAACATTCAGAGGCCCTAGCTCTAGGCTGTTGTTTAGCCTCAGAGGACCAGTAAGGCATAAGCCGTGTGTGTGTGTGTGTGTGTGTGTGTGTGTGTGTGTGTGTCTGTGTGTACTTTGTCTAAGAACATCTCCGTACTGTCCCTCTCAAATGAGGTTGAGGGAGTCCTGATGGAAGCAGGGTGCAGTTTGCAAAAGGGCAGTGGGGGTGGGGCCGTCGGGGACTGGGTATTACTGGCCATAGGGAGAGGAGGAATGGGTCAGCCAGAAAGGCAGGGGAAGGAAAACCTAAAAGACTTGTCCCCCCTGGAGGAAACCTATGTTTTAATCATTCAACTAAATGGGAATTGGGGCCAGGGGTCAAGGGGAACAAATGTAGTCAGAAGGCTGCTCCCCGTTATTGTCAGTCGCTTCAGCACTCCCTGAAAAGCCAGAGTGGGCTGGTGGGGGGTCTGGCATGAGGGAACTTGGCGGCCTCTACAGGAAAAAGGGACGGCTAAATTAAAGGCAAGAGAATGTCATCTAGACTGAGAGAACATACAGAGCAAACGACAGTGACAGCAGTTCGGATGGGAGACCGGCCACTCTACTATGTTATAGAGTCACGATGGTGGCCCTAAGAGGTGTGCTTACTCCTACTTTCCTCCTCTCCAGGCAGGTTTGTCCGGGGACACTGTGATAAGTATGCGTGGAAGACGTGTTCTGTACAAGTATGGCGTGCACTTGCTATTTACAGCGAAGTGTAGCGACAGCGGTCGTTTTTGTCTACCCAGCATCAGCACCTCAATCCCTCCTCCACATTTGGTACACAAGGTTTGCATGAGAATCACCCCACGTGCTAATGACATTACGGGGGCTCGAATTACTGTGGGCGTTGGGGTCTGATGTGGGAACACTAGTCCCCCTCTTTTGTCATTGCTTATTTTTGCTTATGTCCGTTTGACTCGGGATTCTGGCTTTTAAAACAAAGGGTGACCCAACTCTGGTAGGTGGGAGTGGGATTTCGGGGCAGCGGCACCACCCCGGTGGAGGAGGGCTGAAGGATATAGAAAGGTTTACCTCTACTTTGGAAAGTTGGGCAGGCTCTACCTCACACCGCCATTGGCTTCGTAGCCTGTGTTGGACCAAGTGGGGGATAAAGCTGGGCTTAGTGCTTCTGTCTCTGTGACTGTGGAGACTCCTAGTGAAGACACGGCCCCCACCCCCGCCCCGAGGAGTTAGGGGCCATCGCTGGGGCTCGGTCCTTTGTCCCCAGAATGTAACACGGTCCAGGGCAGGGCCTTGGTGAATGTTTGGGGAAGGTCAGGCAATCACAGCGGTGGTTTGAGAGGCCTCCCAGGCTTGCAGTGTGGACCTTCAGTGACATTCAGTTTCCTTCGGGGCAAGCTACCAACCTTGAGGAGCCCCACTTACCTGGCTTCCCACCTCCTGGGCTCAGCGGGGACTTTCAGCTCTTCTGTGAATGGGGGGAATGACGGTCCTCTCTTGCTAGGGTTGGCATGAGGCCCACGCAGGTAGTAGGTGTATAATGGGAATGCCAATGGGGGAACTAAGGCGATATGGGCTGTGGGGGTGCAGGTGAAACACTGGGGCAACCCCACAGGTACGTCGGACCTCATTATAGTGCCTTCCCTCCCTTGGGGGACATTTGAAACGGTCTATAATAAAAGATTTAAAAGTGGATCCACGTATGATACCACAGTGGTAGACACACATCATTACACATTTGTCAAACGTACAGACTGTTCAAAACCAACGAGGAACCCTAACGTCAACTCTGGGGTTCAGGTGAGGAGGTGTCAGTGTAGGTTGGGGACCTACCTGTGCGAACTCTCTGCACTTTCTGCTCATCTTTGCTGTGCATCTCTAACTGCTCTAAAAAAGCACTTGGCTCGGGGGCAGGCTGGCTGTTGACTTCTCTGATCACCATCTCCCGGGCAAGCGCCCGGGCTCTTGTTGTCGCCACCTCCCTGATCTTTGAGACAGCCTCTCCTCTTCTGCCTGCTCCATAAATACTTCCCTTTCTTGACACTTTGTTCACACTCCGGTAGCACTGACCTGTTAGAAGGTGGAGGCCCGGGAAGCCTGTTTCCAGAGTAGGACTCATTAAGTCCATCGCCACTGCTACGGCCCCCTCGAGGCTGCCCGGCTGGCTCCTGGATTCCCCAAACTGAGGAAGTTCCAAGTGCCTTTCCCCCTTTCCCTGACCACTTCTTTGCCCACGGGATGTAGCATTCCAGGAAAACTCCTTAGAGTTTCTTGTTGGTTTTCACTTAACGAAGGGAAATAGAACTGTAATCCTCAAGAAATGCCAAATAGGTCACATGACTTGGGCTTCAAAGCCTTGATCTCAAAGGCATCCAAAGCCAAGGGCTGCAGGTAGACACCCTAGCTCTTGAGGGAGCCTGAGGGGAGTGGGGAGGCACCTGGGCTGATTTTAATCCCCATCCCTGTCTCTACCCGCCTTTGAGGTGTTCGAGGGAGTTGGTGGGTTTCCCGCTCCCCCAGAGGGTAGAGCCCTCTCTCCTGGGCAAGGGTACAGGAATGCCAGCTGGGGAGCTGCTCTGCTTTCTGCCTGTGCCACATCTCAGCCACCGCAGAGACCGTCAGCGGCAGGAACCCTGGAGACAAAGTGTGTCTGCTAAGGCCGTGGGAGCAGGTTGGCTAAGCCTCAGGGACGTGTCCCTCCCCGCAAGGACAACGCTGCCCGACTCCCCACTTAATGCACTTTATTCCACTGGGGCCACTAATTTATTGAGAGGTCATCCGGAAGGTGGGCCCCCGACAAAGCATGGGAGCCGCCATCTGCCGCGACAGGGCCGGTGATCAGGCGACTTTGGTGCCCCGGCTGGCTCGGCTCCGACGAGGCCCCTTCCCGAAGAGCGCGATGCAGGAGGCAGCCGGGTGTGGCTCACCTGAAGGAATCACCCTGGAAACAGGATCAGCCCCGAGAGCATCGAGCGGCTCTGGGATGGAGAGGTTCTGGAAGATGCCCCGACCCACTGCGGAGCTGCTACCAGACTTGGCGCAGCAAGGGGCGAGCACCCGGGGCCCTTGTGACCACGGGTGCTTGGGAATCAGGCGGGGCTGACCCGGGGAAGCAGCTTTACAAAGAGACCCCCACCACCGGTCACACCTGGTCCCGTCACCGCTTCGGAGCCCCGAGGTGTTGGGGCAAGACGGCACTCCCGGCTGGGCGTGGGGTCAGGCCTCAGCCTCACGCCGGCGCCGCCACCGCCTTCTCCTGGCCGGGCACACGCAGCCCCCCTCAGCCCGGTCCCTGTGCTCGGCCGGCTAGCTAGCCATCGTTCTCTTGGGGATGCAGCCTTCCATCTCCAGGGCCTCGGGCCAGCCTTCGTACTTATTGGTGTGCTTACTGTTCTTCACGTGCTGTGGGGTTTGGGGAGCAGGGGGTCAAGGCCTCAGCCCTAAGGCACAAGGGACAGACAGGGCTTGCAGTGCCCGTGTGCTGCTGTCAACCGACTGTGCACTCTCGGGGCACAACCCCCTCTGTCCCAAGACACCTCGATTTTCTCATCTACCGAATGGGTGGAGTAGAAGAAGTCAGCTTCTCTGCACGTACGTGTGCGTGGCACACGTGAATATTCCCGCTCTCACTTGGCCCACAGGGGCTGCTGGAAATTTCAGGAAGAAAAAGGCCAGAGGGAGCATTTGTGCTCGGAGTGCTGAATTGCTCTTTTGAGGCACCCAGAGCCTTCCAGAAAGCACTGGAGCAGCCTATTTGCTTTGTCCTGCTGTGGGGGACAGGGCGGGGAGCCCCGTGGTTTCACCAAAGAGGAGGATGGCACCTGAGGCCTCCCAGCCCCGCACGTGGGGCTTGACATGTGTGAGTCTGGGGGGTCAGTCAGAGGACAGCAGGGGCTGGGGGGAGAAAGCCAGTGCAGTGTGAATCGGGGATCGGGGTTGCAGAAGCACGGGACAGGACTGAGCATCTTGAAGATGTTTGCGAGAAAGGTCTCTCAGTTGTGAGCCTTGCCATTACGAAAGCTTTGCATTTAAGGACCCTGTAGAGTGAAATCCATACAGGACAGGGAAGGTCAACGTTATACTGCCCCTCCCTGTGCACCCGGTGAGGGGTCTGGGGTACCTTGGCTAGGGGTGCTGGGGCAGAATCCAGGGAAGCCTGCGGGGTGAACGGAAGGGGCAGGCACACTATTCTGCGGTGCGAGGCTCTCCACCCGTACCTGCTCAAAGGGGCTCTTGTTCTGCACGCCCTTGGCCCCCACAAACACCCAGCTGTCCCGGAAGGCCAGGTCCTTCACATTCTTGCTGCCCAGATCACTGAAAAGCTTCCTGGTCTCCTCGTTCATCCTGCCGCACAGAAGGAAGACATATAAGCAGTCGCTGTGGAAGGGCGAGGCTGAGGCCGGCCTCGGCAATCACTTACTTGGTGGCTGGGTCGTCGTACGATGCCACAAACACCAGGGTACCTTCATGCAGTGGCCGAATAAACTTCAGCAGATCGTTGACATCTGGGGTGTCCGGTCACATGAAACACAAAGCATCGGGCGCCACTGAGTAACCCTCCCTCACCAACCCTTGGTCTCCAAACAAGGAAACTAAAGCAGGGATCAGGCCAGGGACACACCCACCAAGGTCCCCAAGTGAAAGGGACAAACTGGTACAAGAAGCCAGGGCCATGCCCATGACCGTACACCTGTTCCTCTCCCTGCCCTTTCCAAACCCAAGGAAGCGCTCAAGAAGCCACGGCGAATAGACAGAGCACGGTGCTTCAGGGGAGAGACGCCCAGTCATTCTGCCGCACGACGAGCAGGAGGCCATGACCGCCACTCACCTCCTGCCCACATGTCAAAGGCCCGGGCTTCGATGAGCTCACCGCTGACCCCTGGGTTGACAGGGAGGGAAGAGTCCTGCTGGGCGAGCCACCAGGGCAAGGCCACCATACCATCCCGGCCACCCTAGATCGGGCTAAGGACACGGCAGCGGCCACTGGGCGCAGCCCTTCTGGAAGCTTTGCAAACATCCTGCCCATTCATGCCCACCATGCCCCTTGTTCAGAAAGCTGCGGCCCATCCAGGGGCTCCCTAGGAAGCACCCTCCAACTTCCTGGAAACTTCTGGTTCTTTACTGCTTTTGTTTATTGGGTCACTTCTTCTGTGGAAACTTCAGTGTGCACGGACCCTCTTCCGGGCCTCTCTGTGGATTTCCAGAAGTGGGGCGGAGGGAGGAGAGGGCCAAGGCGAACACCCAGATGCCTCCTCATGGGGAGGGTGTGGGGAAGGAGGGTGGCACATCATGGCATGGATCTGCTTCTCTGGTCTGAACTCTGACCCCACATCACAGGGACTCACCGTTCACCAGGGCGATGTTCAGTCCACGGCCCACGTTGTCCTTGACACTGCTCATGAGCCTGGCGGGGGGAGGAGGGGAGCAGAGTCCTCAAATGTCCCTCACAGATCTAGCTTTCAGGCTCCCACCCCCCTCACCGCAAGGAGCTCACATCTTATCTTCGAGGCAGATCTTTGGTCCGATGACATTGGCGGCCCCGCTGACCATGCGGAAGGCCAGGTGCTCCTCGGGACATGGCTGGGGCAGGCCGCATTTGTACTTCCTGGCTCGTGGCTCTGGGCAGGTACAGCAGGGGTGACCCACGGGCCTGGCCCTGGGGTCACCTGAGATCTGGGAGGGGGAGGTCAGGACCAGCCCACAGGTAGGAATGAGTGGCCACAGAGCAGGGGACCAATGGGGTGGGGGGGGGGGGACATGGCTTAGGCCAAGGCCAGGGACGCTTCCACGGACACTCTGCATCCTGCTGGCGCCGGCCTCAGCGCAAGGTGACAGGGACCTCGGGGAGGCTTTTCTGCCACTGGTGGGAGAAAAGAGATAGGAGGGCTGGCCTTCGCTTGGCCCCGCCATGGAGAGAGCACAGGTGGGGAAGGAAGGGGCAGCTGGGAGGGCGACTGCAGGAAAGTGGTGACAAAAAAAAAAAGAGCGCCTGAACCCCACGGCAGAGGTGGGAGGACGGGAGGAGGGCGGCTGGCCTCTGTTACAGGTTCAACTGTGCCCCGCAAATGACACGTTCAAGTCCTACCTCCCAGCACCTTCGAATACCAGCCGATTTGAAAACAGGCTCATTGAAGATGTAATTTGTTAAAATGAGGTCATCCTGGAGTAGGGTGGCCCTAAATTCAATGACAAGTGTCCTTTTAAGGGACAGACAAGACAGAGACGGAAAAGGAGGCCCTGTGCAGACGGAGGCAGAACCCGGAGGGACGTGCCCACAGCTCAAGGTGCACCTGCGGCCCCCACAGGCTGGAAGAGGCAGGAGGGAGCCTCCCCTGGAGCCTGCAGACTTCAGCCTTCCGGCTTCCTGAACTGGGGGAGAAGCCGCGTCTGAGGAGAAGAAACATCTCAGTGTACGTGGTGCGTGCTCCTTTGTTACAGCCAGGAAACATCTGACAGCAGGAGGTGGGCGCTGCTCCAACAAGTCCCCCAAAAGGTGGAAAGGGCTTTGGAACGGGGCAATGAAGGGAGGCTGTAGAATTTTGGGGTGCAGCTAGAAAAGGCCTCGATTGCCTTATGGGACTGTTGGTAGAAATATGGATGGAAGAGGGCAGAGCTGGTTTGAGAGCGGGGAGAACACATACATCATCATGACCACGTTGTCGTCGGCAACATGAAGGTTAAAGGCGCTTCTGTGGGGCACCCGGGTGGCTCAATCAGTGAAGTGTCTGAGTTTGGCTCAGGTCACGATCTCACGGCTCGTGAGTTCGAGTGCCACCGTGTTAGGCTCTGTGCTGACAGCTCAGAGCCTGGAGCCTGCTTTGTTTTCTGCGTCTCCCTCTCTCTCTGCTCCTCCCCCACTTGCGCTCTGCGCATCTCCCTGTGTGTGTCTCTATCTCCCTCTCAAAAAGAAACATTAACAAAAATTAAAAAGGCGCTTCTGGTGAGGTCTCCGATGGAAACCGGGAACATGGTATTGGATCCTGGAGGTAAGGTTCATAAAGTGGCAAAGAACTCATAAACACTGAACTGGGATACTTAGTTGAGGAGGTTTCCAAACACAGTATTGAGGGCTCGGCCTGGTTTCTCCTTGGTGCTCACAGCAAAACGTGCGAGAGCAGGCTCTGTGCTTGGATGAGCATTTACTACGGAGCCAGAGGGTGCGACTTGTGGACCCGTGCAAGCATGTCAGTAGAAGCCAGGAACAGAAACGGCCTTATCCACGAGAGATCTGGAGGGCCCTCTCATCTCCTCGCTTGGAGTCTCGTAAATCGCACAAGAGACCAACAATGTTTTTTGAGAATTTTATACCAGCAGAAAGAGTGCTGTTCTGGGCTGAAAGGGACAGAAAAGGGGCAGAAGGAAGAAGCATGGCTCTGAGGGCAGAGCGGTGGCTACCGAGGCCAGAGATGGGCCAGGCCCAGAGGGTAGGACCGCACCCTCCACTCCAGAGGGTGCCCCTCACCCCCGTTCAGTTACATCCAGAGCATAGAGCATTGGGCCCTAGAAGATTCTTCTCAGGCCTTGAATCCTAATGGCATTTGCCCTACTGGGACTGGTGACTGGTTTATTCCTTCCAGTTCCTCCCTCTTGCAGTGGGGACATCTATCCTATGCTTGTCTTACCAGTAACTGGATTTCTAGGTTCACAGCATGCAAGCAGCTCCAGTGGGCTGTGATGGCCAGTTTGGGGAGGGACGAAGGGAGAACAGAGAGCCTGCAGGCCTTAAGGCAGGTAGCAGCAGCAGAGAAGCAGTACGAGGGCTGGGCACAGGAAAGGAGCAGGGAGGTGACGGGAGGCTTACCTGCAGTTGCTGAGTTCTCTGGGCCTGTGGATACAGAGAGTTGTTGGTGTCAGGGTGGAGGCCTCCAGGGCCCTGTAGCAGAGCCTCCTGGCCTGACACCGTGAAGTCAAGGTGGAGGATTGATCAGGCTCAGGGGCCAGGGGCTAAGCCAGATTCAAGCCCCCTGCTCCGGGAAGAAAGTAAATTGCAATTGTAAATGGTACTTGGGTGAATCGTCACCAATGACAAGGCGTAGAGTCCTGTCACCATCTCAGAGCCCAGCATATAGCCTGCAGGGAGCAGCCAGGGTGTCGTCCCCAGTGTTCAGCGGAAGCCTCCCTGCCCCTCTCTCAGACACTAGTGAGTCCAACTGGGCACAGAATTCTAAATACATGGATTGGAGTTCCCAAATGAAACAACTGGGTGGTAGAGGGAAGAATGTGTTGGATGTCAGGAGGCTGACTGGGGTTAGCTAGAGGTGGCCCACCAGGGAGACAGAAAACCCAGGCCACACCCACCTCACCCAGAGCGAGGGTGGCCACCCTGGCGACCTCCACAGACAATCAAGAGTCCCACACTCACTGGAGAAGAGTTGCTGGATACGAGGAAAGCCACTGCCAGGCCCACCTAGGAGAATGCTGACCACGATCCAGGTGAGGCCCACGGTGACAATCAGGGCCACAATGCGGAGGGGGCCTGGAGGCAGGACAGACACAGGAAGGCCACCTCAGTTGCCAGTGAGCTCCCGAATGACCCTAGGGCCTCTCAGGACTGGATTTCCATGCCCCCTTGGGAAGAAGAAGGTGGGGACCTGTTGCCACCCGGCAGGCCTGGGACAGGAACTTGAGATCGTGGCAGGTAGATGGAGGAAACAGAGCCCCAGGCTGGGAGCTGGGTTCTCTGTGGAGCCCTGTAACTTTTGGCCTCTGAGGTTACCAGCGTATTCCTGTGCCATCCATCGTGTCCTGTTTCTCCTGTTTTGATGGAGGAGGGGGTCCCTACTCAATTTGAAGACCTGTTCCTTCACCTGCCGGGAGCTGGACCCTGAGGTCTCCTACTTGCGCAGATTTCTTGTCATAGTCCCCATTCGCTCTATCTTGTTCTTTCTCCTGTACCTTCAAAATCTCCCGTTGTAAGAAGTCACCGAAGCGAAGGGGCTCCTTCAGAATCACAGCCCCATCCTGTGATTCTCTCCCCCCTCCCTTCATCTTCCCAGTTAGCATGTCCAAAGGCATCTGCACTGCCTCTTTCTGCATGTCACCTTACACTGTGTCCCCACCTACTCCAGCCTGGCCTTGTCTACATCACCCCATCAAGGCAGCTTGTTGTCAAGGCCACCTATGACCTTCGTGGTGTTAGCTCCCTGAGTCCCCATGCTGGAAATACTTGTCCACTGGCTTCTCAGACAGCACATTCTAACCCCATCTGGACGCTCGTCAGCCTCGTTGCTCAAATGATCTTCATCTATTTTCCACTGAAAAGCTCCATGTGCCCGTTTCCCTACATACAGTCTACTCTCCTATACGTGCCCTCATCAAGTCCCGGCCCTGAATTAACCGCCTCCTTTCTTGCTGCAGCCCTGACTGATCTTGAGGCCGTAACTTCCCATCCAGTCCCTCACCGGCCAGTTGTCACGAGGATAGATGTACAACGCTGCAACCCTAGGAGGTCTGAAGTGGCAATTCTTGAGTTCCTCTGAAACCACGCCTCCCCGGTAGCACACCCCGCCCCCTCGAGCTAGCCGCCATGCTCCGCGAAGCCTCTCGCACAACTCATTTTCTCAGACAGCGGCCACAGCGGCCGGTTATCCGAGTTGGGACAAATCGACTATCTTAATCCTCCTTTCACAGTTCTTGAAGTTCTGGGAGGTGAAAGGATTTGCTCAAGGTCATAGAATGACACTTTGTGCAGGGTTCTCCGTTTCCAAAACCACACTCAGTGGTCCATCAGGGCACCTCCAGACACCGATCTCTGGACACCTGGGTCGCCAGGGCGATCCCCTTTCCAACTCCTTTGCAATCACTCTGGACGCCACCCACCTGCCAACCTCATGTCCACTTCTCCCGCGGGGTTGGGGTCGTCGGCAGGTGCAGTGTTTGGGGACCCTGCACTCTGGGGGCAACAAAACACAAGCGTGAGCCTGTGCTTGGTCCTCGCTGCTGGGTGGACGCGACCGGTGCACCGGCTTGTTCGTCCAACCACCTGGCCAGGCTCCTCGGGCACGCGCAGAAAGGCCCTGTCGGGACAAGAAGGTCCTCAGGAACCCGTCGGCTCACGGCCGTGCCCACGGGAGCCCCTGGAGCCGGGAAGTAAAGCTGGTTCGCCCGGACGGAGGCCTCCTCCCATGGGAGGCCCCGTGCTCAGGTCGCCCTTCCCAGGCTGGGGACGGACGACGCCGGTTAGCTGGTGGAGACTTGCCTGGCCCGTGGGGCGATGCAAGCTGGGTTGTGGGCAGCCTTGTCAGGCCGGTCGCCCGGCTCCGCTCGCGAGGGGAGACGAGGGAGATGCGCAGCTCGGTCCGACAGGCCCGGCAATGGCGGCCCGGGGGCGGGGCCACAGCCCGCCGGTACCGCCCCCGCCGCGGGGCTGGCAAAGGAGAGGAGGCGGTGGAGTCCCCGCCCCCGGGCTCAACGCATCCCCGCCCACAGGCCCGCCTCCACCACCCGCTCTGGCCGCCGGGTGGGAGGGGCCCGCACCGGCCCGGCCGCGGAAGGCGCTCCGGCGGGGTCCCCAGGCCTCCAAATGGGAGGAGCCGTGTGGTCGCGCTCCTGATCCACGCGTGCTTCGCGGTACAAACCTGCCCCCAGACTCCTCTAAGGCGGTACGAGCCGGCCTTCCTAGGCTTCGAGGGCTGGGGTTGCACTCCTGCCCTGCAGTCGAATTTCTGAAGCCTCGAATGAAGCGGATGTATCTAGGGTCTTAATTAGAAATTCTTTCAAAATTGGTATGTGTCTCTTTTAGAAACCAGGAGGTATAGAACAGTCCACCGGGGAAAATACCGGAACGTGACGAGCCAGAGGCCACCAAGCTCAGCCTTGCGATGCCTTTCCTCACAGTCGGCTTTCTAGATGGAAGCACGTTCACGTGGTCTCTCACCTCGCCCTGATACTGGAAAACTCAGGTCTGCTCCCCTCAGCGCCTTCAGGAAGGCGTCTTTGCCACCGCCCAGTGCACCCCAATCACCTCCTGCACCGGGAGAGCTGGACCCGCTGTCAGGGGGACTCATCTTTCTTTCTGTAAGACAGCACCTGGGTGGCATGAGAGTGCGGTGGGGGGGGGGGGGGCGCGGGTGCCCCCTGACCCAATGACCCCACGACAAAGCCTTCATGAGGAAAGAATCCAAAACACAGACAATGCCTGTAGAGCTAGGCAGTGACAGCTCTGGTTACAACCCAGTACCGTCTACACTGGTGTACACAACACACAAGATCAAAGTAATCGGTTTTAGGCCCTGGCTGCTGCAGGCACGGTTTTTTTGTTTTTTTTTTTTCCCCACGGAATTTGGTATCAGACATAATGCTGACCATCTGTCAAACACCAGTGCTCTCCTCAGTGCTCTTTCCTGCAATGCTTGTAGCCGTGGTGCCCAGGACGGAGCTCCTGGGCTGCCAGCCAGACGAGGGGCATCTGCCAGCCCGGTAGTTCAGAGAGGCCACTGTTTACATCTTGCTCAGAGCACGCATTTTGGAACGCTTGCTTTAATGAGTCCCCCTGAGGGTCCTGAGGCACACCCACCATCCCCACGGGCACCACATAAGTCATGGGCCAGAAGCCTGGCATTCAGTTTCAGGTCTTTGGGGCCTTGTGGGACAGCCTTGCACAACTCCCTTGTTTTCTTGGGGACTGTTTTTCAATCCGGACATACGGAGGATTAGGCCCTCATGTTGCCGCCCCAGCACAGGCAGCCAGCGTGAAGGAGCAGAAAATGACTCTTACCTGTGCCCCAGCATAGTTCCCACAGCTGAGGCGCCAGTTGACTGTTGTTCCTTGGATCCCCTTGCCTCTGCCTCAGCGTAGGCAATCTGGAGTGGACGTGCCGGCTGATATCCTCAACTGATCTCTCCTCTGCTTCTTGCAGCGTAGAAACTGGCCACGGAGCTGTCAGTCAACGGTCCGCCTCCCAACCTGCGGGGGTTTCTACCCCACAGTAGACCCCCTCACCCGGGCCTTGTGGCCTCTAGATTGGGCAACCGGATCTCAGGTGGCAGTCGAATGTCCTCACCTCTGCCACAGTGCGGGACTCCAGAGCTGAAGGGACAATTGGCTTCCCCCCACCCAGTCCTTCAGACCTCTGTGTTTAATAACCCACAGCTAAAGTGACACTTGAATGACCTCAACGGTCCCTCAATCTCCTTTCCAGCACAGGATACAGACATGGGCTTTCGTTCGAATGCTGTTGTCACCTGGGGCCACAGCACTGAGGAGGCACTGGCGTGCCTTCCGGCGGGGTTCACGTCCCTGCCTGTGTAGCTCTCATTTCGGACGTGCTACTTGTGGATCGTGTCGGGTTCTCACGTTCTGCCTCAGGGTAGGGACCCAGACCTGAGGTAACCGCTCAGTGCCCACACCTGCCCCTCACCCGAGCATAGGCACGAAGAGCTGAAAGGGGGCTCTCCACACCTGACCTCCAAGCCTTGCCCTAGAGTACGATCAACTTAACGTTTATTTATTTTTGAGACAGAGAGAGACAGAGCATGAATGGGGGAGGGGCAGAGAGGGAGGGAGACACAGAATCTGAAACGGGCTCCAGGCTCTGAGCCATCAGCACAGAGCCCGACGCGGGGCTGGAACTCACGGACCATGAGATCATGACCTGAGCCGAAGTCGGACGCTCAACCGACTGAGCCACCCAGGCGCCCCAAGAGTACGATCAACTTAAATGGTAGTTGAATGTTGGAACTCGGACCCAGGACTTAGGGCCCCAGAGCTCAGGACTGTTGGTCGGCCTCACACAGGTGCTCCCATCCTGTCCCTAGACATTCAGCGCCAGTTGAAAGCACTTATACCCCAGCACCAATGTTGCTACCCAGAGTGAAAGTGACAGCTTAACGTCCTTACCCGGGATCTCATGCCTTGTCCCCACTGCAGGCTCCTAGGGCTGAGAGGACAGTCGACTGTCCTCATCGGGGCCCTCACCGCTTTGTTCCACAGAGGCACCCAGAGGTCAGGTGACAGTTGAATGTCACCAGCAGGGCCCTTATGTCTGCCCCAGTGTAGCACCTACATCTGAAATGTCAGCTGACTGTCGTCACCTGGGCCCATGTGCCTGTCGCAGGAGAGACACTCAGAACACGATGAGATTGGGATGCCCCAACACTCCTCCCTCTGTGCTCACACATGGTCATCATGTGCTGCTGGCCCTGGAGCTGTGTCCCTCTTCTACTTTGGCCTCCTGCTGCTGCCCCTGTGTGGATCCCCCCAGGAGCACCCTCCCTGGTCATGCCATGCCAGCACGGTCCCCAGGGGACCTGGGGACCCAGGAGGACTGTCGACAGAATCCAGCTCTGCTGGGTTCCTCAGTCTATGAATGCCTGTGTGGCACTGCGAAGGACTCTGAACTTGAAGATCCCTGAGGGGTCAGGAAGGACTCCCGCACCCTCAGTTACTTGACTCCTCCCCATCACCAAGGGCTTGAAATTATCCTCATATCCGTATTTTGAGGATTTGAGGTTTGCAGGATGGGCCAGGGCAGCAGCAGCAGACTTAGATGGCTCTTCCCCTGGAGTAGGCAGGGCAGCACCCCCTGGGGGGGGGAAGCAGGGGGAAGGCACGGCCGTATCTTCAGGGAGGGACCCATTCTGCCCCATTCCGGGCCACCATCCCGGGGCCCGGCCCTCTCCTGTCATTTCAGCCCATCCTCCCATCACTGTGGCTGCACCACAGCCAAGGACAAAGACTCTCTGTAGCCACGTGGGAGCCAAAGTGTTCCAGGAGAGCCTGTGAGTTCCCAGGCTGGCCCCCACTGACTCCTGGGGAAGCCTTTGCCACTGCCCCCTCTCCAGGAGGCCACAGGCACTAGAAATAAGGGTGAACGCCACTGCCCTCTGGCTGAAGCCTGGCCTACAATCCTGTCCACATGGAGTCTTCAGCTTCTCTGCATGGACCTGGGGCAGGAGAGGTTTTGAGGTCCAGTTCCCACCCAGCTGGCACTCAAGGCTCTGTGATCTGTCTGTATCCTATCCCTATTCCAGTGAACTCGGTGACCTCCCCCCTTCCTTAATCGGAGGTGTGTCACTTTCCCTGGCTTCAGGAGGGGGTGGGAGGGTGGAGACGGCACCCTAGGGTGCAGGTCATGTGTCCAGGGGTGACCTACTACCCTAGCATATGTGGGGGGAACAGATCAGCCCACCATTGGAGTTTCTTCATCTCCGTACTGCTGTTGCAGAGTCGTGGGTGGGAGCCTTGGTTTGTCCCCCCGCAGTCAGCGATCTGCCTGCCACACTGCACTCCATTGGCCTCTCCCTACCCAGGCTCCCAGCTACTACCATCCCAGCTCCGGGCGAGGGGGCTATGCAGGAGCTAAGGCCGGCTGCTTCTCCTCGGTGGCAGGCAGGAATGGGCCTAGACGGTGGGAGCGAAAAGCTCTGGGCAACTGATTGCCTCCCAAGTGGGGCACGGGTTAAGCTGGAGGGAGGGGTCACATGCCGTCAACAGCCTGAGGGCCTGCTCCCTCCCGGAACAGGGAGCAGGCCAGCCGCAAGGCCCCGGGGTACGTGTTCACCTCCCTGGGAGTGGAACCTTCCTCCCCTGGTGTCTTTCTGGGCCCCCTGTTCCCTCCGCAAAATGTACCAGCACCTGATCGTGGTGTCCTCCTGTTTCTGGTTGGTTGCATCTAGTGGAACCCAGGCCACGAGTGCAGGGGCTGCAGTGTCGCTTCCTGCCGTGCCCCTGTGGCTCAGCCGAGCGGAGCTGGGGGAGGTGGCAGAAAAGACTGGGGGCTGCTGCCTTTGTTGGGAGTGTGCTGGGATGAACAGCGGTCCCCCTGATCTGTGTCCACCTGGATCCTTGTCACATGGCCTTGTTTGGAAACAGAGCGCTTACAGAGATAACCAAGGGAAGCCAGGCTGACGCCGTGCTGGAGCCGAGCGCACCCTGAATGCATGCAACCAGACTGGTGTCCTCAGGAGGGAAAGCAGGAGCCGTACATGCACAGACACCAGGCGGCGTGTGGAGACACAGACAGACACAGGGGTAATGTGTGTACAAGCCACGGAAGGCCAAGGATGTTGGCCACCACCTGCACGCGGAAGAGGCAAGGTCGTCCCCTAGAGTCTTCGGAGGGAGTGCAGCCCTGCCAACACGTGGGTTTCAGACTTCTGGCGTCAGGACTGTGACAGGATAAAAGTCTATTGTCTTATGCTCCCCCCACCCCATCGGGCGTGGTGCCTTGTTACAGGCGCCCTCCCCCAGCACCCCCTCTGCCTCTCGTGCCCAGATCCCGCTCGCCAGCATGCACCGGCGGTGTGTGTACACGGCCCCCAGCCGCTCTGCTAAGCGAGCCGGCCGGGGCGGGGACGTCGTCAGGGCGGATGCCCACGTGGGCAGCGAGTGCATGGAAGCGTTCGGTGCAGAGTGAAGAGCACAGATGGGACAGGGGGCTCAGGAGGCAGCTGGGACGCAGGGCTTGGCCACAGCTACACCCGGGGTCAGGGCTGACGGCCTAGGTCCCGAGCCCACACTGCGGAGGGAAGTGGGTGACAAAAACGGGGCGGCCCCGGGCCCTCCACCAAACGGGCCAGCATCAGGCGCAGGTGGCCTCCTCCATGGTTGCGAGTAGCAGGAAGGAAACAACCAGGGAGCAGACGGGTCTGTCTGTGGATTTAATGGCAGGGGGCTGAGACGGTGAGTGCCCCTTGCTGTTTCTGCTTTTCCAGTGGCGAGGGGGCCCCCCGTAGGTGCGTGGGCCGTGGAGTGTGGAGTTGGAGGGGCGGGGGGAGCCGGTGGGGCGGAGGGACATTCAGGGGGCCCATGACACAGGGGACGGCGGGGCGGCACACAGGTCCCTCCCAGCAGGTGACCAGGAATGTCAAGCGGCGAGACCGGTGAGAAAGCGCTCGCCCCCGCCCCGCCCCTGTTCTGAGGAGCTCGCTCAGAGCCGGCCCGGAGTGTGGAGTGGCCTGCCGGCCGCCCCTCCCTGCCATCCCTCCCTCCTGTCCTGGTAGGAGCAGCCCCAGACCGGCAGAGAAGCCACGCCACTTCCTCCTGTTGGGGCTCACTCCCGCAGACAGAGGTGGCTCAGGAAAGGCTGGTGGCAGCTAGGGATGGTCATGGCGCGAGTCTTGAGTGCGTGGTGCTTGCGGAATGTAGCTAGGCCCAGGGTGGCAGGCGGCACAGAGCGGGCAGGGTGGCCAGGGGCCAGGAATGTGAGACTTATGGTCCTGAAGCCCTCCCGACGTGGGCTCGGGGTGGCGGGCGAGCGGGTGGAACAGGACAGACAGGGCCACGGTGGGTGGGGCAGGGACCTGGGGCTCAGAGCTTGTGGGGGTTCACCCACTTGTAGGTGCCCTCGTACTGGAAGCCCACTCTCTTCATCAGCTCGTCTGCCTCCGCGGGGCCTCGGCTGAGAGAGCGACAGGCAGAGCGGAGATGTGAGGGAGCCCTTGGCCCCCGTGTCCCTTGACCCCAGCCCATCCTCCCCCCTCCATGCCCCAGCGCCTCACCTGCCATAAACATAGGGGATGGGCTGGGGCTTTTCGCGCTCGATCTTGTGCAGCAGCGGCGTGAAGATCCGCCAGGCCTCCCGGAGCTCGTCACTGAGGGGACATAGGGTGGCTCTGGCGTCGTTCCCGGGGTAGTGGGGGAGCGGGTTGCCCTGTGGGCCCCGGGGCCGCCCCTCACCTGCGCACGAAGTGCATCTGGTTCCCACAGAAGACGTCCAGGATAAGGCGCTCATAGGCGTCGGGGAGCTTCACGTTCTACAGGGAGGGGGTTGTACTCAGGCCGCCCATGCACGCGCACCCCCCCGGCCGCCCCCCGCTGCCCCCCGCCCCAGGGCGCGTGGCTACCTTGTATCTGTTGCCGTAGGTCAGGTCCAGCTCGGACTCCTCAGGGTTGAAGAACATGCCAGGCTTCTTGGTCATCATCTTGGTGTACACGGCCTCGTTGGGCTGCACGCGGATCACGAGCTCGTTGCGCTTGCACTGCTGCTGGAAGATGTCTCCGGACACGTCGCGGAACTGCAGACGCACCTCAGCCTTGCGCTCGTTCAAGGCTTTGCCGCAGCGCAGGACGAAGGGCACCCCTGGTCGGGGCGGAGCTGACTTCAGGTCCCGCTGCCCCAGCGGCCCAGGCTGAGCGCGCGTGAGGGGGCGAGAGAGGGGGTGAGGCGGGGGCTGTGTGAACGAGCGTGACATGGGGGTGAAGGCGAGTGCGCACGTGTGCGGCGAGGCGGCCTCTCCCGCCCAGCGCCCCTTGGGCCCGGCGCCCCACGTGTATTGGCTGCCGCGCCCAAGCGGGTCACACCCCGGGAACGAGGGCTCCCTGGGTAGACGCTGGCCCGCCCGCCAGGCCCAGAGATGCCACCTACCTTCCCACCTCTCGTTCTCCACGTAGAGGACAACGGCCGCAAAGGTGGCAGTAATGGAGCCGCGGGGCACCGTGGGGTCATCCAGGTACCCTTTGGTGGCCTCGCCCTCTCCGCTGGGGTTGCCCA